TTTTTCATTATTTATGTCAAAATTAAGCATAATTATTTATGTCAAACATAAACCCTTAATTTATTCCTTTTTAGCCACCAATAATTATCTCTTCCACTACCAGTTAGTCAGAGCTCAGGCAACTGAACAGATTTCTATCTTAGTCTGAGAAAAACATAACTAGTGAGATAATTCTACTGTAATAAAATAACCCAATGTATTTAAAATCCATATGTAAATACTTTAAAGATGTTCCAGATTTTCAGCAGCATTTTTAATACCACTCAGCACTAGAGAGGACTGGAACAGAGTGTAACATTTAAAAATATTTAATTTCACTTTTAAATGTTTTAAATTATTTACTGCAAACTTAAGACTTATTCTTCTGCAAAGCCAAAAGAACTTGGCACTGCAATTCTGATTGTACACTGTGATTTAAACAAACATTTCCAAGTTAAATTGCTGTACATGTTAAAAACACTTACCAATGGAAAACTGGAGGACAGAAGCTGTAGTTGTATTTAGGCCTGTTGTAGTCTAGAAAGAGAAACACAAAAATGAGACATGAGAGAAAGAGAAGGGATAGGTGTTGGAAAGAAGAGGGAGGGGGAAAAGTACCATGGAGAAAGGTCGCACTTATCCAGGAGTTTGTTCATTTTTATCAATATGGTCTGAACACAGATATATTTCCTGTTCCTCTTGGTGGGGGAGAACTATGAGAACCTGATTTAGGCATGAAGAGTGAACTTCTCAGAGTGCTATTGAAACTCTTTTTAGGGCAATCTACCAGGTAATCTTGTGAGGGAATTAAATGAAGTCCTCTCTACTCACCCCATCACCTTTCCCATTCTACTACAGGTCTGGGACTCAGGGATTGCCATGAAAAGGCTACTAAAATAATTGGGAAGTAAATGAAGAGCAAATGAGTAGAATAAGATTATTTTGAAAAGTGAAGAGTACAACAGCTAAAGAATACAGGATTTCTCGGGGGATGCTGCAAATGCTCTAAATTGATTGAGACAATGGTTGCATAACTTGTTGAAAAAATTATAAGCCTTGAACTGGACACCCAAAGTTCATGAATCATGGAAATGGTGGATTATTTCTCTATAAAACTGTGTGTGTGTGTGTGTGTGTGTGTGTGTGTGTG